ACAGACACTGCTCCTTGACCACCACCAGGTGCTTCACTGGCTGCCAGGGCTGGGGCCCGGGAGCAGGAGTCCGGCCCCTGTCCCAGGCCACACCGGCTGTACATCTGGTGCCACAAGCAGTGCCTGTGTGAGGGCCTTGCTGCTTGAGAACGGCTAAAAATAAAATTCCCAGTGGAATTTCCTCTGAGGGGAAAGGCAACAGAGAAAATTAAGTCACCACCCTCGGGGATCACTCATCCTCTGTCTGTGTCCAAGAAGTCTCCGGGTGTGCTGTTCCCGGACGCCCTCTGCGGTGGGGTCAGTGGAGGGTCCCAGTGGGAGGACTCTGGTTGGGAACCCCCGGGTTTCGGAGAATGTAAGAAGAGGGTGACAGGCTTATGTGTGGCGCTGGGGGACACAGGGGAGGGGCGATGGGGGGTCCTGAGGGTCGGCAGAGGCCATTGGAGGTCTGGATGCCTTGGGGCCTTTTCTGTTCGCACCTCAGCTGGTGCTGGAGCTGGAGCACTCTGCCAGAGGTGGTGGGTGGTGGGGGTGGATTGTTAGCCTGTCTCTCCTCTGTAGGGGGGCCAGGTTTTTCTCGGCTAAGCTCTGCTCAGCCCAGCTGACGTGGCCTCCAGGACGTCTGCCTGACCCTCCCTGTTGAACGTCGTCTTGCCTATCCTGTTTTCCACGGCATGTGATTCCAACGCACAGGAAACGCTGTGGGGGCCGTCCAGTGGGAGGCGGCAAAAAGATGCCACCAGCCTAGGGCGCAGGACTTGCCTCTTATTTATCAAGTGACTTTGGACCAAGTGTGCCGCCTATCCGCAAACCTGGGGACTGGCCTCCACCCAGCACAGAGGATACCCCAGGTACAAAAGGGTGAGCCCCTGACCCCCCAGCTCCAGCAGTGCGAGAGCGCAGGATCCCCATCCAAGGGCACAGTTCTAGAGGAGTGCATACACACTCCGGCAGGCTCTAAAGGGCTGCGCGGGGTGGGAGCTGACTTGTCCTCTGTGCCCTCAGGGGGACAGACTTCTGCTCAGTAAACTTCAGGAGGCAAACACTGGCCACCCCCTGTTGCTGGAAGGACATGAGGCCACTTGGCACAGACGGAAAATGGACTCAGCGGCTTGAAGCCTGCTGTTTTCTGACTTGAGAATCGGTCGTGGCATGATTCTCAGCCACTGGCACCACAGGCCAGCTTGGCCTTTGATCTTTTAAAATGGGACTCAGGGGAAAGTAAGAAAAAACTACCCCACTTGGGGGGGGGGCGCAGGTAGATGGAATTGAGTGTTAATTCTCAGCTGCCCTCCTTCAATGTCACTTCCACAGGAAGGTGATTCCAGGTGAGGGCCATGTGTCTAACTAGGTCACCATTAATCCCCTTCCTATCTGCTTCTGACATCAGCTAATCGCCCTGGCTCTGAGCCTTCTTAGGGGGTATTACTCTACTGGAGTCGGGGAGTGAGGGCAGCTGATAAGCAGATGGCACAGGAAGTGTGGGCAAGGTGGACACGGCACGGCTGTCTCCAGCCCTGCCGCCTACCACCTCTACTTCCCCGGTCCCCACATCCAGACAGACTTAGCGATGACCACACATGGCAAGTGTTGATTTGTAACCAGCTGCTTTTCTCGGGTCAAAAGCCCCCTGAAGTTCCCACCAGGGCCAGGGCCCAAGGTGGCCCTGGTATTTCCACCGTGTGGCTTCCTGCAGGTGATCACACCACTGGTTCACGCAACCTCTCACCGAGAGATGACCACAGCCCGATCCCACACCCAAAGCCAGCCTGCATGCGCTCTAAAGCTCAGCCCTCCGGCAGTCGGCAGTCGCGCTAGGGCTGAGGAGAAGTGCCCCATCGGGCTTCCCAGGCTGTAAGTCTCCCAAGCAGTTTTACGGTCTCGGAAACCCGATCAAACCGCGATGCGTGGAAGCAACCTGATGGCAGTGTGTTGGGACAGACGGGAACTGATCCGTGGGGTCTCCGTGGCCGTAAATCTTTGCTGAAGTGGACAGCCGCAGCTTTCTCCCACCGGGTGGCTGGTGGGTTTGAACTGCCATTGTCACCAGGGCTCCTTTTGATAGCCTGATAATTCCCACTGCCATTGAACCAGTTCCCAAAGGCACTGACCACAGACAGGATTTCCAAGACTAATATTTATACTTAACACACGTCGCCACCAGGACTTCTTTTGTAGAGGCCGCGACTCCAGGGTTAGTCGCTTCACGTGGGTGGTTTACAGCAGCAAGAGGTCTCCTGAGCCCCGTGGGGGCGGGCGGGGCGCGGCTCGGGAGAGAACTGGGGCGGCGTCCAGGGTAAGGCTCTCTGCTGCCCTTTAATCAGGGCCTTTCTACTTTTATCTGATTTCATTTCAACGAAGCTGAAATTCTAAAACCACTGGATTAAGGGTTTTCAAATATGTATTATCTCCAAGATTTGTACGGTGAAAGCCTATTATGTTTGCTAAGAGGAAAAAATAAAGGAGACAACATGAGCCCTCCCTCCAGCCTCGGGAGGTCAGAAGTCTTGGAGAGCATGTGCCAGTCCTGCACGTGGCAGGTGGAGCGTGGGGTGCCGGCGAGGAGAGAAGCCTGCGCCCCACACAGCGCCTTCACCAAGACTCCCCCGAGAAGGGCTCAGGCCTTTCCCATCAGCTCTGCAGCAGAGAGCGTGAGGTTCCGGACTATGCCCTTGAGCCTTACTAGTATCCCGCGGAGGGCCCCATGGTGGTGCAGTGGTTAAAGCACAAGGCCGCGAACCAAAAGAGTTACAGACTTGGGAACCTGGGGGAGGGGGACAGTTCTACTGTCCCAACTCACTGCCATTGAGCTGATTTTGACCCAGTGACCCTTTGGAGAGGTCCGAAGACCAAACCTTTACTGGAGGTGACAGCCTGTCTTTTCCTGCTGTGGGGCAGCAGGCGGATTTGAACTGCAGACCTTTGGGTTAGCAGCCTAGCCCCCAGTGCCACCAGGGCTCCCTGGCTGGGTCCCAGAGGGTGGCCATGAGTAGGAATTCATGTGAGGGTGGTGGGTTTGGTTTGGGGGTCTCATTATGCCCTGCAGGGGCTGCTGCAAGGGGGTGGGGAATCCTCAGGCAGCCCTGGGTGGGGCAGGAAATCCCCCTAAAGTGCCCGACTGCATGGGAGGAGGAGGGATGGACTCTTGCCCTCCTCTGGCTCCATAGATGGGGTGGGGGAATCACATTGCTGCTCCCTGACCACAAGCTGGACCCCACAGGTCCTGGAGAGGCCATACACAGCCCAAGAAATGTCTCCTTTGACAGATGGTACAACAGAGGCCCAACGAAGGCACAGGGCCAGTCCTGGCCCACACAACAGACCCCTCAGAAGTGGCATGGACACCTGGATCCTGACCCTGGACCAGAATTCATAGCAAAAAGGGTGCTTTGTGCAAGAGGAACTCGCCATACAGAGGGGCCAGAGTAGTGTGGCCCTGTGGTAAGCACTGGCCACAGGGCGCTTCAGCATGGAGACTCCCCACTGGGTCTTAGGGTCCCACAGCAAAGCAAAGGGGAGCAGTGGTTCTTACACAGTTAGGTTCATGGGTCAATGGGCATTTGTTTGAGTCGGGAGAGGAGCATGGAAATGGCTGTCATTTTCTCTGACCAAGTAGAGGCTTCCCCAAACACTCTCATCATCCACCCTCCCCATCATTTCATTTACACAAAGCCATTTACAGGGGGCACAGGGTCTCGGAGTGAAGAATTTACTGCTAGGCAAACTCACCCGCTGCTGCCTTCTTTTTGAATCATTTTTCCGGAACTGCTGGGACCAGGGCAGTTCTGGCCAGCCTCCGGGGCCCGCTGGATGGAGATGACCCGTGAGGGGCCTTCCTGCGTAGAAGGCCTAAGGTTCTAAAATGTGGGAGCTGAGCCCATCTCTTCGCTTGCTCACATTTCCAAAGTTAGCTCCTGTTTCTAGAAGCACAGCTTGGTCGAGCCCAGGAAGAGGATCCTAGCCTACAACACTTCCCGGTAGGAGGCCGGCCGGAAGAGCAACGCAAGGGTCTACGCACAGTTTTCGTAAAAGACCAGAAAGTACATCGTTAGGGTTTTGTGGGCCAGAAACTCTCTGCTGCCATCCCTCCGCTCCGCTCCTGCCTTTGAGTCCCTACATGAGCGAAGGGTGTGGCCGATCACAGGCTACAGACCGAAGTTGGAATTCAGTGTCATTTTCACATGTCATCAAAGAGTTCCCTACTTCTGATTATTTTCTCTTTCTTTTTTAAGGTGTCACAAATATTTGATAATCAGAAAAAATGTGACAGCAAACTGCTATATTCTATTTTTAGATAGATCTTTCATGTTATAATGTAAAACTTTTCTTTGTTCTTACAAAATTTGAATGATTTTTGTCACAATTTAAGCTGTCAAACAAGACCTACTTCCATAATAAAGATGAGTTGAATCTTTGTATTTAAAAAATTATTATTATTATTATTATTCAGCTAAGACAGTAGCAAGACAAAAAGCCAAACCCACTGGCTCAGAGTCAATGCTGACTCCTAGTGACCCTACAGGGTGGACCTGGCCCATGACCCTTTACAGGGGTTGAAAACCATCTTTCTCCCGAGGAGCCGATGACCGACCTTGCACTTAGCAGCCCAACGTGTAACCAGATGCCACCAAGACAGCAGAAAGGTGACTTACTGTGCACGTCCCATTGAACCACAGCTGAGAACATAACTCGTCCAGAATGCCACAGGTCTAGGGCGAAGGATGGAAATGGCACTGGAGAAGTATGAGCTGGTTTTTTTCAATCGTTCAAAATCTGGCTGTCATCTGAGGACCCTGGTCTAGACGGCTGTCCTCACCCTGGGTCTGTCACAGACCAGCCCCGTGGCCTCGGCTCACCGCTCACCTCTGACGACCTCGGACAGAGCAGAGACTAAACAGGAGGGAGGCCCTGCCAGGGACTGTGTGAGCTGCTGCCTACCTGGCCTCCCCCTGAGCAAATCAACAGAACGGACCAAGACCTTTTCCTAGTGCATCACGTACCTTCTGAGGTGGGTTTCCTGGGCACATGGTTTGGGGGTCGTCCCCTCTGCACTGGGGGCAGATCTCATCCTCGCTGTTCCTGGGGAAACATGAGCAGAATTCTCTGGGTGAGGCACTCGGTTCCCTGCCACCCCTCCCAAAGCCCAGACCCTTCCGAGAATGGCGGCAGATACCCGGAGGGGTGCAGGTCCACAACCCTGCACCCATCGCTCTGAATCTGACCCTCGGATCCATAGGTTTGATGTGAACTCATGCGGTGGCCAAGCCCGAGCTGAGCCAAGTGGAGGCCATGCCAGCCCTTCCGTACCCCAGCCTTGTTTCACTGCAGAACTCTCCGCATGCTGGGTAATAGCATGCTGCCCATGCCCCGGAGCCCTGCTGGTTTGGGCTGCCCACCCAAAGCTTGGTGGTTTCAACCTGTCAGCTATTGCTCATGAGAAAGATGAGGCAGCCTCCTGCCATGCAGGTGGAGTCCCAGAGCACCATGGGCAGTCCTCGTCTGTCCCACAGGGCTGCAGGGAGAGCGGACTGACTCAACAGCAGGGGTTGGGAGAAGACACCACGCACCCCGGGGGCAGAATTCTGAATGCTGACACACATTTGACTGCAGGGCTTTGGGGAATTGTGGGCCGTGACTGCCTATGGGCTTTTCCTCTTCTTCTTTTTGGTTTGGTCTCGTATTTTTAGTCATCACAGGCACACATGGTTTGTTAGCAGCTGAAGGGCCCTCAGGGACCAGGCCACCTGAAGGCTCTTAACCAGGAGCGGGGGTCAGAGGCTGACTCAGGTGGCACTCGGGCATGGGTGTCAAAGACGCGCCCCAGGGGCGTCTGATGCCAGGGGTGACATGCTGTCAGGTGCTGTTGAGTTGGCTCATGGGGACAGAGGAAAACCCCAGTGGGCTTCCCAGGCTGCAGGCTTTCCGGGAGCAGATTGCCAGGTCTTTGCTCCCCTAGAGCTGCTGGTGGACCTGAACCACCAACCTTGAGGTCAGCAGGCCAGAGTGCAGCCACTGGCCCAGCCTAGTTTATGGGTGAGAAGGGCAGGTGGATTGAATAAGAGCGAATCAGCTGAGCTGAAGCAGGCCCAGGCCCAGGCCCCTTCACTACCCTACCAGTTCCCACCTCCTCCTCCGCTAGCGTTGGGAGGAGCCCTATAGCCATCTCCTTGATGATACAACCAGATAGGCTTTGATTCAGCTGCCCCTCTCCCACCCCTCCCCCTGGCCTTTCCCAGCCACAGCCTCCCCCTCGCTCTCCCACAAGGCCCCCCTTTTGTCCACCCCCCTGTGACCTTCTCACAGGTCTGATTCAGTTCTCCCATGGTGCCATAAAACTCCAAACAAAGGTCACACAGGAGGTACGTGGGTATGTGGCAGCCTCCGAGGGATCTCCCAGGAGAGTGACTGGGTGTGCTGACCTAGGCTATTAGGGCTCGGTGGAGACTACTCGTGCCCACCTCACCAGGTGACCCGGAGCAAAGAGTTGGCACGCAGCAGGTGCTTCCTAGTTAAGGGGAGCTATGGCCGATGGTCTGGATAGCACAGCTCTCTGATTAACCACAGACATACATACAAATACTTTCCACCCCATTCAAAGGGGTCTCCTCGGCAAACGGTATACAACTGGTGCACAGAGTTTATGTCATGCAAAGAGACAGAGTTGTAGACATTTGCCATTTACTAAGAAGGGATAGCTCTTGATTAAAAGCCAGTTTTAGACGTTATTGATGGAATCTTCTAACAATTCTGTAAGGTAAAAAAAAAAAATCACTTTATGGGCACTTTATAGTCAAGCAAGCTATACTGAGAGGCATCGGCAGGCCACGAAGCACCGACGTTGGCCAGAGGGGATTAAGGGCCCTGTCCCCCTACCAGACAGCTTTCTCCCGTGACAGCTGACATCTTTCTGTGGTTACATTTGCTTCCAAGAGGCAGAGATACAGCGCCAAGGCAGTGAGACAAGGTGTGGGTAGTGAGGCCCACAGAGGTGAAGGCGCCTGGCCCGCGTCTACAGTGCTCCTAGGCCCGCTGTGCATCTCTTCCCTGGGGCCTCTCAGGATCCACCCTCTGCTCCCCATCTTGTCTCCTCACCTCATGTTCTCTGAGAGACAGGCGGTGCAGCAGAGGGCCCTGGGCTCTGCTGGGTCCTGGTAGCCGGTGGGGGGCAGTCCAAAGGGAAACTCATTCTCATCAGGGGCTGGGCGGGGGCTGCTGGAGGAGCCAGAGGCCATCCTGGGGTCCCTGTCGGTCCGAGCCCAGCCCAGTAGAGGTTGTGATGAAAGAAGAGGTGGGTTCGGGCCTGGGCCACCCTCTCGACCAGCAGGAAGACGCTGGTGATTTTATCTTTTTCTCTCTGGCTGGTGTGGGTCAACGTCACAGCTGAGTCACCTCAGGGATGGAGCAGGAATTACCCTTCCTGGTGAAGAAATCCCCTGAATGGTGACTAGAGGCTTCAAGGGTGTCCACCCCTTCGTCAGACAGAGAGAGAACCAGAGAGCAAGTCAGAGAGAAAAGAGAACTATGTCACAGATCGCCAGGAACCACAGTTAGCGTTTCCCCTGTCTGAGAACCGCAGGCTGCTGCCGGCTTCCTCCGCCAAGGATCTGGGCGCCCCTCAGCAGAGCGAGCCAAGGCTGGCTGGCCACTGGGCTGTGCTCCCTGGAGTCCCCAGGCAGGCTAGACTTCTCTGGTGGGGCACTCACCTCCTTGGGGGAAATGCCCAAGACCCTTAACTCGGCATGGTCCAGGCAAGTGGGGTGACCACAGGTAAAGGTCATTTCTTTAGAGTAGGCCTCAGGTACCCCATCTGTACAAAAGAAGAAGGAAAAGGTATTGCAACAGGTGGTCTTCAAGTGCCCTCTGGGCTCTGAGATTCTGGCAGTCTGTGACTAAGGCAACTGGAGGCAGCAGGAAGACGTCTGGTGAGCCCGCCCACCCAGGGCATTCTTCTAACAGAGGAATGACGACATTGGGTCTTTTGGCCCTCCCCTCCTTTGACGTCCCCAGCTGGCTCTCTGGGCCCAAAGTCTCTGGACCACAGCCTCCGCTGGGCCCGCCCATCAAGGGCCCCAATCAGGAAGTCCTAGTGGCCACACGCCAGGGCCAGACACCATTTCTCTGTCCTGAGAGGAACAGAGAACTAAACGTACAAGGTCACAGGGAGCCAGGCTCCGTTCCAAGGCAGGCAGATATCCATGATTGCCCGCAGAGGCAAGCAGGGCGACTACGAGTGCTATGGCCCCTGGTGTGAGCGCTGGGTGTCGGCCAGCTTTGCCTCCTGATTCTCAGCACCACCTGCCAGCCTCCTTCTGCAGTCAGAAGACAGGCTCCAGCAGCTCTGTCCAACTCAAAGCTTTTGTCCTTGAGAAGAAAGCAAGGCCACTGGGTGGAACCTGCAGAGGCAGGACGGGCATCTAACCTCTGTTTGCTCACGTGTCATTTGGAGCAGATGGTCCCCACACACCTTCCTACCCTGCTGTGCTAGAAGGGGGTTTGTGTTTTGTGAACTCTCATCGCAGTTTCAAATCATAGGACAGACAGATCTGAGTGGGGATCCTGGGCCTGTCACTTACTAGCTATGTTGTGGTTTGCTCTGAGGGGCCGTCGAGTTGTTCTGACCCATAGGGACCTTAGGGACACCTGAACGAAACACTGCCCAGTCCTACGCCATCGTCACAAGCGTTCCCATGGTGTCAATTCATCTCCTTGAGGGCCTTCCTCTTATTTATTTATTTTACTTTACTAGCTATAGAACCAGGGAAAGAGTCCTTAGCATCTCAGAACCTCAGCTTCTAACCCTACAAAATGGGGCTAAGAGTGCCTAGCCTGTTGTGATGACTGAGACCTTGTGTGAAAACCTGGCACAGTGCCTGGGCCAATCGAAGTGCTCCAAAGGGTCTGACATTGCCCTCAGATGATAGCTGCTCTCCTCCTAGCATTCAAACGATTTACTCAACTCATCCACTGCTGTCTAGACGATGCTGACTCATAGGGACCCTACAGGACAGGGTAGAACTGCCCCTGTGAATTTCCAACACTGCAACTCTTCAGCTCTGTCTTTCTCCCTCGGGTGGTTTCAAACTGCTAACCTTTTGCTTAGCAGCCCAACAAGCAACCACTACGCCAACAGGGCTCCTGGGGAGTGGATTACAACGTTAAAATAGTTATACAATGTCCTGGGACCCATCAGCCTGTAGTCTCACAGGTTGGCAGGACAAGTTGGGTACTGTCCCCTGACCCTGGAAACCTTCACCTGCTCACCTACCGTGGGCTGCCAGAGAAGGCAGGGCACCTGGCAGCATTGTGTCACTCAGGATGGCCGCTCTCCCCTGGGCCAGCACTGGCCTGCCACTGTCAGCAAAGGCCTTGCCACCGACTTCAGAAAACACAAACACACTGCCATGGAGTGTCTATCAAATCAAAGCTACTCTACAGGACAGAGGGGGACTTCTCTCTAGGTTTCCTGGGGCGGTAAGTCCTCCCGGGAGCAAGCGGTTCACCTTTCTCCAGGTCTAAATCAACAAAGCTTCCAGTGAGCACCGGGATCCCCATGCTTACTTCAGAGAAAAGAGGAGCAATCAGAATGATGCACCTTTAACTGTACATCCAGCCCTTACCTAGTTCCGGGCTCCCTCCTTCCCTGGGAGAAGGATGGAAGAGGTACCGGCCCTTTCTCAGTTCTGAGCCCCTCTCTCCAGTCTGCCCCCAAGCCTCCTCCACCGGAGCCTCCTCCACCCGAGCCTCCTCGGGATGGCCCAAGAGCTCACAGCTCCTGGGTGGCAGTTTCTGGCAAGGCCTGTGCTCTGGTACACATCGTACTACGGTCCGTCTTTGACACGTTTCAACCCTCAATCCAAACTCCGCTCCACCTCCCTTTCCTGACCTTCGGAGAGAGTAAACCGGCTAGAGAAGCTGGGCTGTGCAAGGGCTCCAAGCCCTCACTCCAATCTCCACCGTTATCTCTTGGCCCTTGTCAAATGCCCCAGCCTGTCACTTTCTCCGCTCTGGCCAGCACCTGACTGGGCCCCTCCCGCAGCCCCCACCCTCCTACTTCTCTGGCTGCTCTCCTGAACACCTCTCTTCCACCCCTAACCCGCATCTGCACATTCGGTAACCTCCCACCCCCACGCAGCGCTCCTTGCACCCTATACCCCAATCTCCCCAGACTTCCACTGGGGTCTTTCAGGGCCACCCCCTTTTCTCCTGGGAAGTCTCCGTGGGCCGCCCACCTAACAGGGCTGGACGTCGGGGTTTGAGATTCACCTCGTCCCGAGGGCCCCTGCTGCCCGGCCCTGTAACACCGCCTCCCACGCCCACCCCGTTCCTTGTCGGTGTCCCCCACCGCTGTACGTGCACCCCCTGAGGACAAAGGCCCTGCCTATTCGCCACCTCCACATCCCATATACCAGCGCAGCACGCCCGTGACCCTCCCACGGGTGGACGCTCCCCGGGGGCCCGGGCCTGGGAATGGGGGGCTGCTGGAGCGCGGGGAACTGGGGCGTCCGGTGCCGGAGCGCGGGGCTAGGGGCGCCGGAGG